TTCCTAAACAACCAAATCCCCACGTGTTGACTTTTTTTTTTTTAAATTGGGCGACATGGTACATTTTTCCACCGATAGGAAAGAGGTGGCTTTTTTCATTTCTTTACTGTTTTCACGATGTCCTTAGAAAACGCTTAAAACACACACACACAAAAACGTGACGACAGTATTTAGAAAAAAGCGTGGCTTATATATATTATCATAACTCTGGATTTACTGGCCTGTAATTAAAATTTAAAAACTTTGAAGTCCGAACTTTCAATGTGGGCTGAAATAGAGACTCAGCATGGCTGCAGCTTGTTGCTATGTCAGCTTACATCAGTCATGTGATTTGGAGGTGCAGTGTACCACAGAGGGTTAATAACACTCACCTTCCTTCCATTTCCAGAGTTAACATCCAACCACCTGTGTAAAATCCGAAATTCCCATGGTGTTGTTCAAAATGTGCTCTGGCACAATCATAAACATCGCTTGCTACTGAAAACAAGAAAAAAGCCGGTCCTGCTATGGGCTGAACCATTTGTTACTGGTGCAGGGGGGAACACTATGCAATATATTCAGTTTTAGCATTTATATTCACTGTTGACTGTAACTACGCTCAAACTGTTAATGCTATCTTATTTTAATAAACAACACTGTATACAAAACTAGGGTGGCACTTGGGGTGGCAAGGGATCATCGCTGGCCGATGGCGCGATATGGCAGCCTGGCTTCTGTCAGTCTTCCCCAGGGCAGCTGTGGCTACAACCGTAGCTGCCTCCACCAATGTGTGAATGCCAGAGTGAATGAATAGTGGCATTGTAAAGCGCTTTGGGTGCCTTGAAAAGCGCTATATAAATCCAAACCATTATTATTATTATTATTATTATTTTAGGGTGGCACTTGCCACCCCATGCCACCCTTCTAGATCCGCCCCTGTTTACGGCACATTTATTTATTTGTGATTTCTTTCATTTACTACAAAAGCATTTATTTATCGTGTAGACGAACCAGACTTGCTGTTAGAACTGCACTTCTTTTTTTATGTATATAAAACTAGATTAAATGTGTAGTTAAACATCTTCACACCAAGAGATGTTTGGTTCGGCCCACTGACTACTTAAGATGAAAATGATCTGTATGTGGCCCAGGATGTAAAATGAGGCTGACGTCCCTGCTGTGGAGGATAGAGTTAAGTTGAATATCATATATAAAGTAGGCTATAAAAAATGTTTTGTTTTACGTGTGACATAAACACAAGTGTGAATGTTTTTAATCTAATTGAGTTTGACTTTTGACGGCTGCCCTCCAAATGACACTCGCTGAGTGTACGAAATTCTCAAGTTCTACTTCGTCCTTGAACGCAGCACTCCTGTAACCCTGTGTGATGCGTGTGGGAGGAAGAGGAGGGCTACATCTGATGTACGTGCCCTGTCCACTCCGTGAAGATCTGCAGGAGGACACGTCCGAGCTGCCGTTCAAGTCTTTTCTCTTCTGCTGGCGTGAATCGGAGTAAAGCTGGAGCCGGCGGTTCACTGTCCGCCGCCCGAGGAGCGGCACTTCCAGTGGAGTGGCACCGAGCGCCAGCCTCCGCCTTGGACCGACGAACTGGCTGAGATGTCCCGGCACATCTACACCCGTCACGGGATAGCAGAGGGGATGCAGAAGCCCGTGTTTCAGGTAGGAAAGAAATAAAACATGACGTGAAACAGCGAGGATCTGTAGCAAATGTTTTAATGATGAAGACAAATCTTAAAATATATGCAAATATGCACGGGGGGATAATGAAGCCCCCTTACTCCACACTACGATGACATAATAATAATAATAATTGAAAAAACAAGTCATCCTGCTCGTTGTCTTGGTGAGGATGCATTCATTATCTCCAACTAGTCCTCGAGGTGTTATTAGTCAAACTGAGACTGCACGAGATCTGCAGCGTGGCGTGAATTTGATTTATTCAAAAAGGAATGAAATTAGGTGCTCAATTATTAAGCACTTTATGACGAAGCCCAGCTTGTGATGCATGAGGTAGTTTAAAAAACTTTTCCAGAGAAGGGAGGTACTTTACCCCCTCCCATATTTTTTCAATGTTACAACATTTGCAGATTGTTAATGTAACTGTGTGTGCACTTAGATGTAATGAATGGGAGTGCTGCTATTTGATTACCAGGAAAGAATCGGATATGAATCTGATATTATGAAGCATAATAATCAATGAAATAATCAATTTTCCTAAGACTATGTAGCCTAATAGTTGTGGTCAGAAATTCATCCTGCTCAGGATGGTTCAGGCTCGGGCTTGAATCACATTTCTTTGTGTTTTTGAACTGCTGATGTCACTAACTTTAAGGATTTTACTCCGGGTGGGGGGAAATTTTTGAACATTCACTACATTAATCAGGCAAATAAGACATTATCTACTACAGAATGTGTGTAAATACAGAACTCCGCAAAGTGGCCTCGTTAGAGACCGTTATACACAGCGAAGGCACTTTTGCTTTGTGTTGTGATTTTCTGAAGTTATAGTTTGGCAATGCCTGCAATTTAAAATTAAGATGGGATCACTGAAAGTGATATTCCTCCCTCTGCTGTCACAAAGGGATATGATACCAGGCGCATGAGTGTCATAAGAGCCAAGCGCTGCAACCATTTACTATATTTCACATCATTTCCTGCTCAAGTGAAGTATGCCCTCGCTGCACTTAAACAAATTGCTTGTGTGTGAAAATAGGTCAGAAAAAACTGAATCCGTACATTGGGGCAGTGTTCACGCAAAGCTGCACTTACCATAGACCTTAGTGTGACAGTCCGAGAAAGCATTAAAAGACCGGCTTCTTATAATCAGGTCATCACAGCAGACAAGAGACAGCTGGTTGGCATCAACGTCACTTTAACCAGAGAGACTGAGATGCTGGTTTTAACGGGGTTACTGAAAGGAAGGTGCCCTTGGGTTTGTCCTGTAGAGGAGAGGGGGATAAATAAAGGGAAGGGCCAACAAAAATACAATCACAAATATAAAATAAAAGAGCAGAGTTCATTCGCGGGTCTGTTTTGCCTTCATTAGGCTAACAGGGGGACTTACTCCAGACGCAGTCGACTGAAGAGGTCCGATGGCAGCACCACTTCCACCAGCTTCATCCTCAGACAGGTAGGACATGACGAACTTGAACTTTTAGAGGTCAAGCATAAACCTGACTGCATTTCTGCTTCGTCGAGGCATAGATCTGGTTAATACTGATGAAAGCTTCACCATGTAGCACTGCACCTGGCTACAACACATATGACAAGCGTCTTTAGTTTAGGCAGCAACTCAGTTCAATTCAATTCAGTTTTATTCATATAGCACCGAATCACAACAACAGTTGCCTTGCGGTGCTTGATAGTGTAATGAAAAAACCCTACAATAATACAGAGAAAACCCCAACTGTCAGATTAGGAAAAAGGAAGGAACAACTCTCTTTTAACAGGAAGAAACCTCAGGGGTCACCATCTGCTGCAACTGGTTGGGGGTAAGGGGAGAGAGACAGGACATAAGACACTGTGGAAGAGAGCCAGAGATTAATGGTCTTAGCAAACATCCTAATTGTGTCTTAATAGCCTACCAGGTCCTTTGGAAAGGAGTTAAAGAGCTATAAACAACACTATGAAGCACTTAAGACTAATAATTGATGCAAACCCCAGCTCTGACAGTGAGTGGTGAACACTTGCTGTTTGCAGATATCCCTGGTGGAATGAAGTGTTTTTGAGAGCTCATCTCTGGACCACTGTTGATTTCTGACCTCAATCCATCATTACATAACTTTTGGTTAGACTCATATGGGTTTGGCTCCAATGTGAAGAGAAAACACTGTGGCAGCAGATAACATGTTGCCAGTCTAGAAGATGTTCTGCTGTAGTCCAGGGAATAGATGGCCTTGATTTGGTCTCACTTGGGAATTTAGCTAACTGACCTGCTTTTGAGTCATCTACCAAACTTTCACGAGTCACGGGAGCAGCGCCAGGCAACACTGTTTGGATGCACCGCCTCTTTTGTATATGTCACAGTGAAAACAAAATTCAATTTCTTAAGTCCCTTCTTTAATTCATAATGTGCTTGCGCCAGACTACTTTACAGTGCTTACCGTGGACTTTGACATCCTGCTGACAAGTTACCAAGGGAACCAAGGCTGCAGAGGCCATACAAAGATACAAGAATAGTTCATCAGTGACTACCTTTGTCCCAAAGCCCCACTCTTTCTCTCCCTTTTTCATGCTTTCAAACCTGACCTCAAACAAACTTGGTCACACGTGCTCTTTGGAGATACAGTAAATCAGACCAAATCAAGTTGGAGAAAGAACTGAATCGTCAGATGTGAGTAATGATGGTGTAGCCCCCCCATTAGTCACAGAAATCATCTTTTTGTACATAATTCCATTTGAACAAAACTGAGCATAACACCAGATGATTAGCAATGTAAATAAAATATAAGATCTGTATTTTATTGAGCAGCACACTAATGAATGCAGTTTGTGTTCAAAGTGTAAACATCATCCATTAATTAGTGAATACCTACTGTTTGACACTGGCGTAATAATATGACTCACAGGAAGTGAGGAAGGTGGAAAAGACACAGTGTTGCAGACAGACCTCAAAGAAAGAAAGAGTAGACAAAAAGAAGGAGAGGCAAAAAGTAAAGCACAAGGACAGTGGAATGAAATGAAAGCTCTTGCCCACTCCAATTACTTATTACACACTCAGAGATTTCTGTAACGCCCCCGCTGTGATTTGTGTCATCACCGGTGTGATCGTCATCAGGTAAGAAGAGAAGGAGTGGGCTCTCTCTCTTTGATGCCCACGTGTATCCATAGTAACAGCCTTCAACAACAACAGGGGTCAAGCTGACAAGGTTGATTAGCAGAAAACTGCGCCGCCTCCTTTCTTTTCACAAGAAGGTAACAGTTTTTTTTATTTATTTTACAGCAAAAACTCAATGAAAGGAGAAAAGTGAGATGAAGGCATTCTTTACAGCAGCCGAGGTAGATATCGAATGTTTTTATTGAACGTTCCTCCTCTACAGATCATTTGTGGACATTACAGAATCATGGTCAACATTATAAATCTTCCCTGGACTCTGGAGTTATTAATGTTAGTTTGTTCAGCTCTGCAACGAGGGAGAAAAGGATTAGGCGTGATCCATGCGAATACCAATTTTTGTATCGTTTTCAAAATTTGGTTATTAAATATTAGCCTTTTCTGTTGCAAATTGTGATCTTAGGCCAGTTCAAATGTGGCTATGTGATGTTAAGAGTCCAAGAAAGACCAAAAAAGTTGCAGTGTCACAGTTCAGTGCAGCCATTTACTGTCTGATCATTTTTTGTGGTTCCAAAGACAGATCATGTTGTACAGTACAGTAAAATGATGGTGATACCAGATGTCAGTAATTTACTGTAAATTACTTTGAAGTAACATTACATCACTCGTAACCTTGCAGTATTTCACTTTACAATGACATTACGATTGGAAAAAGAGAAAGAATAATGTTCATTTTACTGTGTGGGTGTGGTTTGACAAGATATGACAGGTTGTGTTGGCAGCATAAGCAAACAGCAATCCAACTGTCACCAGAATGCGATATAAATATTGCTCTTCACCCACTTCAAACCAGTAGGAGCACAAATACAAAATTTTTCATCTGTGTAATAACCAACGATTGGCAGAAAATAGTGCATTTAACTAGGAGACCACAGGGATCAGGGCAAGGCGAGGTGGGGTCTGCCGTCTTCTGAATGACCTCTGGTGCTTGTCTTACAAAGAAAAATGAGAGAAAATGACTTAAATTAATTGTTTGCTCCAATGGACGGCTGTGTCACAATACAGGGACATTATGTTCCAGGAGATATGGATGACGAGTCTGAGTCACTGCATGTGATACCGAACAGATCTGCTGCCGAGATGGTAAAAAACTGATTCTCCCAGATGGTACGCAGAGCACCTACACACAGATGTTTATGTGTGCTGTTGGCGAGTGGATACCTGATCGAATCCTGAGCCAGGCTTTAAGGTCCATGAAAGGATTATTTATAAGACAGACTTGTAAAAAGGCCTTTAACCTTTCCTCCATAGCAACAACTTAAAGATGCAGATAGACACAGAAGACGAAACATTCAGCTTTTTTATTGTCTGTTTGGATTTGCATCTGTTTGCAACCAGTTTGCACTTCTCTCTGGTCACTTAGCATTTTTGTAGCAATTCTTGTAATGTGAATTTTCTATCTCCTTATGCTAATTTGTCATCTGTTTCTGTTCAGTTTTTGTCTCTGCACACAGTTTCAGGTTCTTTTGTCTGTTCAAAATCGTTTTGCAGCTGTCTGTATTCATCGCACCTCTTTCTTCGGCTGGCTCTATTTGACCCTCATGCATCTAATTATGTTTTGTTTTTAAGACTAGCTGCTGGTTTGCATCTTTGGAGGTCTTTGCAATTGTTAAATGCATTGACCTCTTAATAAGAAATGTTAACTCCCCCTTCAAACAGGGGTTCTGAACTCTTGAGGTTAGCTGGGTCTGTACTTGGGTAGGCCATTCAGCAGTTCTGAACTATGGTTGGGATTTTATCAGGAATTCCTGAATTCATATTAATATGAAACAATATATATGTAGCAAATGACAAGAAAGATCATCTCCTTCAAAGGTCCCACATTTACATTGTGTACAGTTCTCATTATCTTCGTTGTTTTTTTTAGTCTTTCAGTTCTACCGGAATCTACTACTTATAACATAGACACTTCTCTACACATATGTATTAAAGATAGGTGCTATGAGTGGGAATAATTTTACAGTGCTGCTAACAGCAAGTACATGTATGTAATTTAATTTAGGGTTTATGCTGTCTAACAAAAAATGAGTAAAAAGCACCAACAACCGGTTGCAGCAGATGGCCCCGCCCCTCCCTGAGCCTGGTTCTTCTGGAGGTTTCTTCCTGTTAGAAGGGAGTTTTTCCTTCACTGTCGCCAAGTGCTTGCTCATAGGGAGTCATCTCATCGTTGTTGTTTTCTCTGTATGTGGGGTTTTTAATCTACAATATAAAGTGCCTTGAGGCAACTCTTGTTGTGATTTGGCACCATATAAATAATGTTGAATTAAATTATTCAAAGCAGAATAATTGTCATTTGGGGAACTCTGAGCTTATTAAAACCAGTCTGTCTTGATAACACAGACATAAACATATATGTATATATTTAAAAACCCCAAACCAAGCAATTTATGTTTATCATGGTTCAAAGGTGAAGGCACAGATGATCTTTTTTTCTTGGTGTTGGAATTAATAAGCCTAGGTCAAGTTATTTCCTACTCTAGCTGTCTCTTACTTACAGTTAATTCAGTTGATGCTGACATCCAAATGACGGGAAGAAAAGGGGTTTCACACGTAGCAGACCTTTTATTTTGAGATGCCCTGAGGACACAACAAGAGTACAGTGATGAATTTTGGTGGACCAATAGATGTTCTCAGCAGAAAATGACCTCTTAGTCACAGCCGAATTTCCTGACTGCCTCTGTTACGTCGCCTGAATTAATTTCTTATCTCACATTCACGTCCTGGATTGTCGTGTTTTCATTCTCTAAATCTGTTCCGTTGCTTTACATGAATAAATCTTGGAATCATGAATGAATGTAAGGCTCACAGAGTTAATTGATTGAATTCATTGTGAGATTGATAAACCTATAATGCCGTCCCGGAAATTTAATTTGCCTTGCCGACTCACGATACATCAAACAGAGGCAACTCTTTAACCTCATCTTTCAGCTTGCAGCTTGCAAAGTGATAAGGAAGAGACTTCACACTGCTAATCCGCCTTATGTAGGTCACATGCCTAAACTCAACAGCCTTTAATTTGTGAATTAGGGGAGACCGGGGATAGTTGTAACATTTTTGACATTTCTGTCTGTAAATTGGAGCTCTTTTAAGGTAGTGGATTCAAAATGTAATGCAAAGTATTTACATGTCTCTGCTATTAAATAGTGCAGCTATTTTCTCTGCAGCACAATTACCCATTGCATGGTATGGTCTCAAACACGAAGAGTGAAATGTTACAATTAACCCCATAGTCTGGGTTAGTTGTAACATATCCTGGGGTGAAATGTAACACAATGAAATAAGGGTACTGACAAAACATTAACATGTAATCTTTGTTTATTCAACACATGAATGCACTTACATCCATTTATGTAGCTCTGTGTGTGTGTGACAGAATGCAGAAATCTAGCTTTTGAACATATTCCAACCCCCCAAAAAAGACAAATTATGGAATTTTCTGCAACTGAATATTTCATTAATTTTGGTTGGTCTTCCTTGAGTTTGGCCTCATTGGCTCAGTGGGCATTATAACCTACAACTCTTGCACCAATTTTGAACATAACAATGAAGCTGAAAAAATGTAGTTGTTCACCAGCATCGCAATTCCATTACTTTTTATCATGGCTTACCTTGGTGTGGTTTGCAAAGTGCTTCAGAAAGATGAGGAAATCTGTTTCTTGCACCCATCCTGATTTATTTCCACTACCAGTACTTCCTACTGGTCCATCTCTGACACAGTGGTCTGCATAATGTATGTGTGGGAACACAAACAGTGGAGGAATTGTGTTGCCAATGGCATTAACCGCATATACAAATGCGACCAGTGAACCTCTCTCTGCTGATGTCGTTGCCCCAACTTGTTTAATATAAGTTAAAGTAATAGTGTGGTAAGTTGTAACATCTGCATTATTGTTACAACTAACCCAGACTGTTGCTGTTACAACTGACCCAGACTCCTATAGCCATGAACTAGCTAACATTACAGCCAACGGCTAAAACATTAGCACTAAAGACCTACACAGAATATATCCCCATAGACATACAAATAACATAATTTAAGTTTGATGAGTTTAACTGCAAAGCAGATAATGCTATTAGAAATTGAAATAAAGTAGAAAAACTTACTTTTTGGCATACAAATTACTTTTTTTCGTGTTAAATTGTCTGTGTTTGACAAAATGTGCTGATTTTTCACATGTGATAGCAGAACTGAATTGGGCATGCACAGGATGAGTCACATCATTTGAAACTTAGCCCTGATTGGAGAAATTGGAAGTGTTACAACTGACCCACGTTACAACTATCCCCGGTCTCCCCTACTTGATGGGCCAAGCCACCGCTGCCGTCGCTCGCAGCTGGTATTGCACGCTAGTTTGTCAGCACCTCCTGAGTAGATGATGGAGACAATCTCATAACTTACAAATGAAAGGTACTTTGTTATCAGTTGGAAATGATTGCATGCTTAATTTAGAAAATGGCAAAAGGAGTGGGAGCAAGTTGGAGTGCCTTTCTAGCTGAGAAACTAAAGTTCCTTTCTGGCTTGTCTGACATTTCTTGCACTTTGTTTCTCTGGGATGTTACATTTTGTCTCTTGATTGGGCACAGCGTGTGTTAGAGACATAAAACGCCTAAACGAGTTCTCACATGTTCAACCTGTTTCTACCCTGATAGGTTTTCTGATTTTTAAAGGATCTAACTGAACTCAAATGGATGACAGTGACAGCTTGAGATATGAGTAAGAACACAAACTCTTTGTGCCTCTCTTATCCACTTTGTTCCATTATTAGTTCAGTTTCTTGTCATTTTTGCAGCCTGTGTGCGTATGTGTTTATTTTCAGTGAGGTAATGTTGCTCGAGCTGTCGTGTTACACGTGATATCTAATTATACCACCAGCTCGGTCCCACTTTTCTCCAGAAGCATATTTCACCCTTTGTGCTCTTTCTGTTTTGCTTCCCATCTTTCTTTATTTCTCTCTTTCTTTAAAAAAAAAAAAAAAAGCACCCTTATATGTGATATTTCATGCAGCTTCAGCCTGAATAAAATGACCTTTATTCTGAAAGGTCTCCCTTTGATCTACTGTTCCACACGGGCCAGAGGGGGTCTGCCGGGAGCTGCTGTGCAGAATAAAGACACAGAGCAATATCTAAATGAATGATGAGGATGTAGCACCCGGCTCTGTGCCTCCACTAAAATACATGCAGGATAGACACAAAAAAATCTGATGTTTTGGGAAGAGCTTGTTCGGAGCAAGCTTAAAAAAAAGGAAAAGGAAAAAAGCGTGGCGATGTTGATGAAGATGCATTATCGGATCAAGAGAGGGTGCTGTTGCTCTACTATGCCAAACAAATGGCAACGTCCCAGTGCCAAACTTGTTTGAGTAGGATCATTGCTGAGTTTGTGTAACGTGTGTGTGTGTGTCTGTGTCTGTGTATTTTTAACAGGGAAATTTATATTATTATTGTGAATAGTATCAAGAATTTCTTTTAAAGCTCAAAGCCAAAGGAGGGAAATATGAATTGCAAAACAAATACTGTAATTTACCTTATTAATGATTTTCATGTATGTTTGTATTTCTGAGGTGTTTACTATGAAAATAAACAGTCTTTCAGCTGCACAAATGAAAACCTTTTGTACAGCAATGAATTCAAAGTCTTTATCTAATTTGTAGCTTAACATCCTGCGGTAATTATGGGATGGTTAAAATAGGAATCTATATTTTTTAAATGCACTGTTGTTTCACATGTAAAGTAGTTATAATAGCAACAGATGCTGTCCATGAAAGGTGTCAAACTGGAGATTTGAAGTTCTCTAGCTTTTCTTGATTGATCTCTGCCATCACTCTCCCTGTAGCAGATATTTACAGATTGATTTTTACGGCTCCGGTGTGTTCATGAAGCTGTAAAGACGCGGGCGCTCCTTGTAGCGGAGCAGCGGCTCGATCGCATCGAGTCTGCCTCTCGTTCTAAGTATCATCACTCAGCTGTTTGCCTTTGCTGCCGTTCTGCATGTGCAAATTAAATGTCGGTGTTTAGTGTGAAAGATTACCTCACGCTCACATACAAGGACAGGATTGACACAGCTTGCTGGTTAATGATGCTCTCAGGCTGCAGACGCCCCCGCCTCTTTCTCTTCTCTCTTCCTCATTCACAGCCAGCCGGGCTGACTGGAGCCTGCATCGGCCAATCAGCAGCCTGCATCTCACGTCTGTCATCAACCAGTGCTGGGGAAGGGATTGGCTCGTGCAATCTCAGCTTGGAAGGCAGATGAAATGCCAGGTCTGCTCAGCCTCTGGGGATAGCCAAGCTTGCCTTATAATGGGAAACAACACTTGTTTGACCTGGGAGCAGTAACATCTAATTCAGCATTAGCAGAAGACTGGACTCCAGCTTTTTTCTCTTTTCTTTTATAAATCTGTTGTTCTTCTGTGATCTGGGTTCTTTTTCATCTACCTTCATGTGGAGGAAGAGACTGCTGGTGCTCTCTGTCACTCCCCTATCCTCATCATCCATCCTCTCCAGAACAGGTTGATCTTGAGCCGTTTCGAACTATTTTTGCACTGAAGAGCTCATTTTTGGGAACCTCACTCCTCCATGTACGATAACTTGTACCTTCATGGATTTGAAGACTCGGAGGCGGTGAGTGGAGAGTGGCGTCTGGCACTTGTAAACCACGCTGTTCTGTTCCGTCGTGGCTGCTTGATCCATACATAAACTCCCACAGAATGCGTTGAGACTTGAGTGGGCTGAGCGTGCACTCATCTCGGGGGAGTTAGAGGAAGGAACGGTGTGTGTGTGTGTGTGTGTGTGTGTGTGCATTTGCGTGCATGTCTCCTCAACCGGTCAAAAAGAAAAATACAGTTTTCTCACTGATACTATCAGCTTGGACGCCAGTTCTCCTCCTGTCTGGGCTGGCTGTCTGCAAAGCTGAAAAGTATTGTCTTTACCATGTATGGCTGATTGGCCGGTATGCATGCTGTTTGCCTCTGTTTATGAGCATTGTGAGCACGTCTGCATGATTCCTGTGTGCCTCCACCTTTATCAAACCCCACTGTACATCATCATGGTTTATTGAAAAGGCCAACAAACATAATCAGCATTCACTACGGCCATCTGCGTGATGCTGATGTGCTGATGCGTGCCAACTGTTACATTCGTCACTCGCAGCATGAATGCCTTTATGGTCGAGAAACACGTTGCCATTAAGGGAATTCTCATCTTTGCCACAGATAAGTGTGCATAGGCACCTTTAATACAAAGAGGCAGGCAGGAAGAAAAATGTGCGGAAGCAGAGAAAAATGCTTACAAAGGCAAGGAATATAGAAACTGCTGCCGGGTGGGGAGGAGGGAGGGAATCCCACTGAGGCAGAATCTGTCAGAACCTTTCCATAAGTCCACCTGAGATACCGGCTGCCTCATAAAGACTAAAAAGTAGAGTTAGCATGTTCTGTCCTGTCTGCAGCGTATACAGAGAGATCTTCTGTGTTTGCGTTGTTGTTTGTTGCGACTTTGAAAAATGTGTTCATTTTTATGTGCCAAGTTTTGTAAGTGGTGTGGTATTAGTAGCTTCTCTTTGCTGTTGTTTCTTTCCTGCATTGGGAGTTATTTCCAAAAACTCAAATTTCAGGCCTTACACTCAAAAGCTCTGAGTGCCCAAAATAACTCTCTTAATTTAGTTACTCTCTTAGCTGATAGTACAGCAAGATCCAGAAATAACATGTTTATTTTTTATTATTATTATTATACGTCAGAATAACTAATGAGCCTGAAGACAGTTTACTCCCATGTGAGACTGCTCGGGAAATGGATTCGGGAAAATCCCAGTACTCTCTAGAAACTGTCTCATACAGGATAAAACTGGATCCATTCATTCCTTCATTACTACTAAGTCAAAAACACACTACGTTTGATCCTGCTGGTCAATTACAGTGAATCAGTCAATGAGTATTTCTGTCAATACAGGCAGCCTTTGGTTCTGTGTACTTTAATGAGTACTATTAAATCAAACCTGGAGAACTTGTTCATGCACTCTGTTGGGCTGCTGTGTTCCACATTGCTCCATATTTAGCTGTACTGGCAGCGTCACAGAACACACCTTTGACCTTACTGACCCCGTGGTTTGCTATCAGCACTTATCTTTAGCTTGTTTTGTTTTTTTAAAGCCAGGAATGTCACACAGACTTGTCATTCATTTCATTTCCAGCATATATTAAGCTGCAGGCTCTCTTGTGTGACTTATTTTCAGTAAGAGTTTTGGAGTGACATTGTTTGACACACAAATGTAATCTATGTGTTTGGCGTTTATGACCTTCCCACCTTTTTTTTTGACGATTACTCCTTCTTTTCCAAAGCTCAACATTTTCCAGCCCTCGGACAGTTTCACTAGAAATGTTAGTCAAGTAAAATTAACACTCCAAATTAAAAATCCAGAACAAGTGTTTTACCCAAGACTACCAAGAAAGCAGCTTTTTGGTCCATTTTAAAAATGTTTAGCAGAACATGCAGGACTTTCCGTTTTGTGGCCTTGATCCGTTTTTATCTGATGATGTAATATTTAGAGTCATAGTTGGTGGAAACTTCCATATGAGTATTATTCTTTTTTTGCAGAGTCACTGTCCTTCCCTAGCTTCTGGTAGTGATGTAAACCACTTTCTACCCTTCTGCAAACATACAGTATTGTTCACTGCATGACTCACCTTTATAACAGGTATTATGAAAAACACAAAGCCCAGTAAACCTTCTGCGCTGGCTCATAGTAGTTTTACTATTGCAAATAGTAGTGCAAACGTGGAAGCAGCGCCTGAAGAAGACACTGTTTATTTCTAAACCAAGTCTTTCCATTATACACTCACTGGACCCCTTGATCCATTTTTCGTCTTCAGAGTTGTTTTAATTCTTTGTGGGACAGGTTCAAAAAGGTATTGGAAACTTTGCTCATGGATTTTGGTCCAGTTTGACATCACAGTATCAAACAGTTTTTGCAGTCGCTGTCAACAAATCACCCATTCCACCGCATACATCATGGATTGAGATCTATTGGCTTTTTGGCTGTTTAAGTACAGTGAACTTACTCATGGTAAAGTAGCCTGTTTGAAATTATTTGAAATTTGTGACAGGACACATCCTGTTGGAAGCAAAAGCAAAATGTACAGCAAACTCTGGCATTTAAAGGGTGCTGAGATGGTACTAAAGGCGATACTGTATTTTCTCTTTTTTTGGCCATTCTCTGTAAACCCAAGAGGTGTATACCCAAAACCCTGTGCTGAATCATACTTGTTATTAATCTCTGGCTCTTTTTCCACAGCGTGTCTTTTATCCTGTCTTCCTTCTCTCTCCCCAACCGGTCGCAACAGATGGCCACGCCCCTCCCTGAGCCTGGTTCTGCTGGAGGTTTCTTCCTGTTAAAAGGGAGTTTTTCCTTCCCACTGTCGCCAAAGTGCTTGCTCATAGGGGGTCATATCATTGTTGGGGTTTTTTTTCTCTGTATGTATTATTGTAGGGTCTACCTTACAATATAAAGCGCCTTGAGGCAACTGTTGTTGTGATTTGGCGCTGTAGAAATAAAATTTAATTGAATGGTTTTGTAGGAAAATCCCATAGACTGCGACCAACAATCATGCCATGCTCAATTCAGTTAACTTCAACAAGCTATTTATGATGACGTCTAAATGCATTGAATTGGCTGCTCAGATATTTGCATTCATGAGCAAGTGAACAGGTATATCTAACAGAGTGAGTTCACAAGGAGCTAAAGGCCCAAAGTGGGCCAGGTTTTCAAAGAACTTAGAGACGTTTATCCCTTAAAGCTACTGGATGCAGTGTTGGTGCCAGCTGAGTGTGCTGAGGAGGGAATGCTTTTCGTCTTACAGTCTGGGACTGATAGTCACATAGGTCAGGGGAGGAGATGATTGGAGATGGGAGAACGGACTGAGCTTCGGCATCTGGACAGATAAGGTTAGAGTGTGGCATGACGGACTCAAGACCGGCCACTTGACACTTTGATAATGAGCCACAGTTTGTGCAGAAACGAAAGGCGGGGGGTAGGAGTCTTTGCTTGTGTAATGTGCATGACAGTAATTTTAGACATGCCTTGTGTTGACTGACGTCTTTGTCATGCATTAATAACTTCAGGTTTGTAAAGTGGCAAATGTAGGGATCTGAGGTAATATGGCCTGATTTTAAAACACTGCTACTACTAGTAACAACTGGATTTTTATTCTTACTTTTGAGATGATTGCTTCCAATAAACGTGCACAAGGGTATGAAAAATAAACTTTTTCTAGATTTTCTAATGTTATTTTACATTATAATATAATGTAAAAGTAAAGCTACTGTTTAAAACAATAGGTTCATGTTATAAACAAAGCCAGCCTCCATGTTGAAGATAAAATGTACATTATTCTGTGTTACAAAAAGATGTAGTTTGTTATTTTAAAAGAAAAAAACATACATCAGGTGATACTCTGCAGTGGGCAGCTGTGTGGTGGTTTTATTTCTTTTTCTCCACTCTTCCAGCTATAGATTTCATTTGTAATGAGGCAGTAAATAACAGTTATTTGTACCAACCAAAGACTCCCATGGCTCTGAATGGATCATTAGCGGAGACGCCTGCAAGCCCTGGACAAAGACATTAATCCACACTGTCCAGCCTGGCAGGTTGACTTCAAAGACTTATTCTAGTACCAATGCCCTGTTACACATTTTGCCTTTTATTTTCATTTAATTTTTGATGTCCAGTGGGAGTGATAGTCACCAAACCCATGCTTCAAGCTCCCAAAAAGGCCATATTCAGGATAGGAACACATCTTTTCGTAATCTCTTTGAAAGGTTGCAAATGGGGGACAAAGACATTCAACTAAAAAAATTAAGGCACTTTAAATAATAATCTAATGCATTTCAAACTGCTTCACAAGTGACAGACAGGATAGAAATATAAGAGAAACAAATATGAAGAAATCCGTATCCAAACAAGATTTTGTCTACTGCTCCATGCGAGATTTGTGTCCTCCATGAGCTCACCATAGCAAACCTGCATCAAAGTTTCTCAGGTGTACTGACCCAGTCAAACTCCCCATCTGCCACTGTCCCCCGAGTCGATCCCTGACAATAGTTGGGTGAGCCTCCTTGCCTCCTGG